CCAATCCTCGACCATTAGGGGGCACACATGCAGCTACTGAGATGATGAAATCAAACACTTGACAATCTCTGGGCACTAATAGATGTCAAAGTGTGTATGTGTGTGTGTGTGAGGGAACAGTATATGTGCCAAGTTGTTGCACACTAATCTTAGGAAGTTAAAGGGGAGTAGGGGTTGATAGCTTGCCTGTTAAAACTTAAATGACTTGGGCAATATTCATTCCTATGTTAAGTACCTGCTATCAGCTCAGTTTCATCCTTCAATAACTCTGACCCAAAATGTCTGCCTACTTTCAGAGGCAACACCCAGGTCACAGGCTTTTCTTAGACTCTGCTAGTCTGGCAGTTTTTTTAGAGCTCTTCATATTGCACACGGTGTAATTAGTTCTTTGTAATTAGCGCAATTTATTGCTTTGTGTATCCCTTCGAGACGCAAGTACTTGAACACAGAGGTCTTAATTTGCAATATTACATACTGTGTAATTGGGAATTTGTCTCTTCACATCCCTCAGAGACTCACAGACATGTGCAAGTATAACAGGAGTGGACGTGGAAAACAGGTTGCACGGAGGGAACCTGTGCCTTTTATGTAATTAGACACCGGCTCACTTTATTAAAAATAGCCAGTCAGGAGCTCATCGGTTACCTACTGGACAGTTATCGAGCAATGTGTGTATTTTGGTACTCCAAACAGGTCACTTGTTTCAACAAGCTGCCCCCTGGAGCTTCTTCAGTGCAGAAATAGGCAATATGCCCAACTAGACACTAATAATAGTAAGAATAATAATGCCTAGCCCCATATGGAATGAGATATAGTCCCTTATTGGTTTGAAGTGATGATATTAAACAGCATTAGATAGGCAGGTGACAATGAAGCACCAGTCAATTTCCCTAGATATGAAAAGGAGAAGATTGCAGGTGGGATTACCCGGTGTGTGGTCAGGGGGGAGGCAGCTGCCCGCGCCAGCGACGTTGACGCTTCGCTCTCCCGCTGATTGTTTGCCTTTGAGCTGCCGCTTGTCCTCCTCCTCTGCTTCTCCTAGTTTCTGTTTGTCTTTCAGCAGTTCATCCTTCCCTTTCTCCTCCCCCTCCTTGCTCTGTTTGTCTTTACAGGGTTTCGGAGGCTGGGCTTTTCCCAGGCTGAGCTCTGGCTCGCTGACGGAGCTGGAGAGGACGATGCACGTCTGGTCCCTCTTGGCTGAGGGGGGTTGCTGAGGCCTGGGTGGCTCTGAGCCAGCTGAGGGGGGGAGAGAGGGAGAGAAAGATGAAGATCACTTTATTGGCCGAGTTGCAGAGTGTAATCAGACTTTGAAGAGTTTCATTCCCAAGTGAGATATCCATCATCTGAGGAGTGTGCCAGTGTGACAAAATGAGCACCGACATGAAAGTAAAACTCAATATGGCTCATTAGTGATATTATTAGCTGTCCTTTACTGACGATTTTAGGGGATGTGATTGTGCAAGATGGATAGATGTTAGCATGGCATCGTGGAATTTGTAAACACACACGTCTGTTAGGGAGGATGTCAACCTTTATCATTTAGAGTGCACATAAAACATCATCCAAGGTGTGTTTTTCCAAATCATCACATTATCTGCTGGCTGACGGCTGCACGTCGACCTCTAACTGAAGGTGTACACTGTTAACATTGTTGTCATTGCTCAGTAGCATGTCGGCAGTGAAGCAAAGAGCTGCAGATGGAACACCTGCCTGCCACCATACCCCCCTCCTCCTCCTCTCACCAGCTCTCGGATCAAACAGCCAATATAATTTGCTGGGAGAATGAATTATGCTTGTGTCACATTGCTTTGTTAATTGCTCGTCTGCATCATGCGCAATCAAATACAAACAAAATAACTATCAGTGACTGCTGCATCTGTGCACCCGGGTGGTGCTCGAACAGCTGATAATGGTCGACTGCCAATCGTAGATCTCGCTTGCAAAAGGGGACGGCACCTTGTAGACGCACTATCAAGCTCCCTCTGCACCTCCATTCCTGCTGAACTGATTCCTATTCATGCAGAATGGTGTAATTCTGTTAAGGTCAAGCAGAAATACAAGCCACAGAAATGTTAATGAATGCAGGGATTAAGCCATTACTGTTCATAGACTTCAAATTATTTTAAATTGTGCTTTAAAGTCATGTTCCGAGGCACCACCACCACTCATATTAAGAAAACATTAACAGACAGAGGTAAGTTTCACATTCAGTCACTACAAACTTCTTCAAGAGGAAGGGCAGCACAATTTCCTTTCCCTACTTTCCTCGTTAAATTTAAATCTTATCCTTTCACATTATTGTTGAACTTGAGGTGTGAAATCTAACAAGACAGTAAGTTGCGAGACTTGGGGGACGCAGAGGGCTAATTAGTGATCCCGCCTCTCTGTGGCTTGTTTCTTCAAAAGGCCAGCCTCTAAGTCGGCTCCCTCAAATGTCATCTGAGTCTCCGGGCTCCTGGCCCCGCCGCTGCCCCCCTTCACTAACAAGCCGAGCGAGACGGCTGTGTTAAGCTGTCCCCACCAAGGAAGATGTTAACGGAGGAAATCCTGCAGGGCTATGCCTCGACTTTAACAGTCGACCCCCTTGTCCCGGGCCCCTGCAGTAAGAGCCCCATTATGTCTATAAGGGCTTGATAAGGGTCCAAATCCACACATACACAAACATACTACTATGTACAGATACATTCAAAAAGCATGTGATCCCATGTATAAGTCAGTGACTTAACCTCATGAGGACTCGCATAAAAATAGTACAAGCTTTTATTGAAGTCTGCAGGGAGCCAAGCAGCTGCAATCAGTGACAAAGACTTATCAAAGAACAGGGAAGCAGTGAGTGCTCATTCAACTCCATTCTGTTGTTAAATACTAAAATCAGGAAAGGATGGAGTGCTGGCTGAAAGTTGGAGAGTGCCAGGAGAAAACCCAATTGCCCTTTTCCAGTATACATCGCGAACGCTATTTGCCGAGAGAAAAAATGCTGGTCTTCTGGTGAAAGAGCTGAAGGACTGAACCAAGCCCACGCTCAGCCTATACAATAAAATAAAACTGCAAACACATTAACTCGAAACTCCTGGTTTAACCTGAACAAAAGTTCAGATTAAACCACCTGAGGCGGTAAACCCTGTCACATAAACTGCTTTCAGACGTGCACTGAAGTCTTTCAAAGAGGCTGTATGTGAGAATGCAAATGTCCGAGTTAGTTTCTCCCCAGAAAACTCTTCCTGTTAGCCCCTTAGGAAAATGGCAGGAAAATGTTCAGTGGGTGCACAACTACGGCGCCAGCACGGGGGTGAGATGAACGTGCTTGCAACGACTTGTCACCAGACGATCTCATGCTGAGGTCTTCATATGAGAAAGACAATCTCCGCTTTATAAGAAGCTAATAATCCATGACAGCTCTATTTAAAGTAATTACAGTACTGACAGTGTAGCACAAGATTCAATTGGCTCCTAATAAATTGATAATTTTTGATTAAAAATGTTAAACTTTTATAATTAAATGCAATAAAATAAATTCAAGCATTAGAAGTGATGGGGAAAGAAAAGTCAACTTCTAAATCGCAAGAGTTGCATAAAAAAAATTACAGCTATCCAAGGATGTCTCCAATCTTTAAAATAACGTCTTTTACCATTTACTAAACTCCTCCACTCAAACAGGCAAGTGTCCAATTACAGCTTAGCAACTGTAGCTGCTCATGGCACTACGTCAGGCATTGGATTTCACTTTGGATTTTAAGACCAATTATTTTGAAAATGATCATGGATTTCAAGAATGGAATCAGGCAAAGTGATCTCCAGCGACGCAATTCACCGCTTTGACATTTGGTAGCCGTCCTCTAACCTGCCATTCCAGCCACTTTGTTTCCCATTCAGCTCAAACATTTTTCAACAAATCATAAAAATCTTTCTTTCCTTTTAATTTCTTAATTTCCCTCTGGCACAAACAGATCAATATCCAGTTGCTGGTTTGGTATATTTTTGGCACGGGGCTCAAAACTGCAAAAATGTAATCCAAATCCCTTTGACGCTTGTTCGTCTGTTCTGTTACATTAAACAAGAAGCTATGACGTTTTGTCACGTGCCGATATTTTCTGATTTTCCACAACATGTCTTAATACCATTGATACGACTTGACACGGTGTCGCAGCTTCCTTTGCATCTGTTGTGAGAAACTGTTGCTCCTGAAGCGATAACATTTCTCATGTCGTGCTACAGGCTCTGAGCTGATTATTTTCTTGCATTTTCCACGAGCCGAGAATTGCGGTGCCAAGTTGAGAGATATCTCCATAAATACAGTTGTTATTTTTCAGCACAGTCTGTCATTTACAAATTTAGCAGGTTGTTAAAATCCCTGCGTCTAGTGAGCTGACACAGCCTGCTGCTGTGAATGCAGAGTGCCGCTTGTGACAAAGAAGAGAGTGTGATTGCTGAATAGTTATCAAGCATCTGCTGCATGAAATGTTTGTGTGTGAGGGTTGAATTTTGTTAAAAAGTGTGTGTGTGTGTGTGTGTGTGTGTGCGCGTGTGTGTGTTTATGCTGCTCATAACCAGAGGTTCAACTGGACGAGGCAGCAAACACACCAGAGTTTATTGTACAGTTAGATAGATGGGGTAAACAGGGGTAAAAGAAAAGATCGTTGTGATATGTATATATTTGAATTTATTTTCTGTTTGTATTTGTGATGTTTCTGCACCTCTATGTTTTTTCAGGATTGTGCATCTTAAGTGTGAGAGCTTTGTTTTCTTCAAACAGGGCCGTGCAGGTTGCCAGCCGGGTGTGCATGTTGTCTAGTGCTGTTTATATGTATTGAATCTTCTGGTAGTAGACAGGAAACAGGAGCAAGGTGTGAAGATAAATAGATTCTTCTGACTTTAACTTACAGGGCTTCTAATATCAACCTAACCAGCATTAAAAGAAGCAATAAAACTCATCCTGCTTCACCTGTTATCACTGCTGAACCTGCATCAGAATTGTTATATACATTTTTAAGACGTCTCCGAGATGATCTGATGCATCTCAGACCTCTAAAGAGCGTGGACCTGCAGCCTGCCAGGTCAGAACGACTTCCCTCCCCTCCCTCTTGCAAAATACAATCATAGGCTGTCAGAGATATCAGCTCGAGCCGGCTCAACTTTTCCCCAAGTTCGTTTGCAGCAATAGTAGACCGCCTGCACTCTCTCTCTCCCTCTCTCTGTTTGACAGGTGAGAATTATACTGTGTCCTTGTCATCTGCAGAGAGCGAGGGAGACAGAGAGACAGGGAGAGAGAGACAGACAGACAATATTCTCCTAACAGAGCTATTTCAGACTCTGGCAAGCCTGCCTCCATCTTTTCGCTATCATGCATCTCCATCTGGAGAAATCTGTAATGCTGTTCAAAACTATTATGTCAACAGACTGCTGCGATTGATATTGACGGGAGGGAAAATAATGCAATGAATGGATTTCAGCTTCGTTTGCTGCATTTCAAAGCAAGAGATGATGGAATTATTGTCATTTTCGTTTGTTTTGCAAATAGTGAAATGGGGTTTAGGAATTAATAAAAAGAAGAAATGAGAGGGACACACGGGCCGATACGCACATGCATTAGGGGAGGATAGATTAGATGATTTGTCCTTATTTGTTTATTGCCTCCTAATCATACCTGGTGTGGCAGAAGAAGAGCGCGGGAACTCGCACATCTCGCAGTAAGGCAACAGGCTGCTGTTGGAGTAGGTGCAGGACCCACAGTCCCACATCTCAGATGAAGGCTCGGGCTCTGAGAGCTTCCGCTGGGCCATGAAGGAGCTAGAAGTGCGTGGGCTACCGGCGCTGATCCCCCCAGCCGTCAACCTCCTCTTCCCCCTAAATTGAGACCTGGGGCTTGGGCTGGGCTGCTGGGTCTGCAGCCTCTTCAGCTGTGGGGAGAAGTCCTGGTCAAGTGTCTGGTCTCTCCTCTCCTCCCTCTTCTCCGAGCTCATCCTACTGCCAGCCGATGCAGCAGTCGTCTCTGAAGAGATGGAGGGAGATGTTTCTTCATTTTCTGCTCTCTTCCTCTTCTTCTCCATGCTCGGGGAGAAGAAGGAACGTATGTCATTCTGCTTGTCTTTATCAAACTACGAAAAAAAGATGCAAGCTCAAGTTAGTTTTACTCTCCACAGCACAAAGTTAAGATTAAGCAACACAACATTGTGACAAATTCCTTTTTATCATCATTGTCACAGAGCAATTTTACCCTTCGTTTGTTCATGTCTAGTGATCTCTGACTCACGATAGCTTTTCACATTTCAGTAGCTGACAGGTGAACATTCAGATTCAGTTCGTTACAGTTTCAGCTTCAATTTATTGTGCAACTTACAGCACGTTGTACAGATTAGTTTAAAAGGGGCAATTCCTCTGCTATCATTTCTCAAACAGATTTACAGCACAGGGAGAATATTTTAGGTACTAAAGGTTCCACAGTTACTGAATATGGAGCAGGCAGACGCCAGAGAGAAACAAAAGGGCCACTCAGAGAAGAAGATGCCAAAGTATCTCATACTGTCTGAAGACACGGGAAGAGATGAAGAGGACAGAGACAACATAATGAGGACATTGTGGCAGTGGGACATAATTTATTTACATGCATTTATTGTATTGGGGGATTTGTTTTCTGAGGTTATATTTGGTAGTTACAGGAACATAAAGACACAATGTTAGCGCCTGCTGTCAGCAAAGTTCCTCACATCTTTGCCTGCCTTGTCTTAAGCAGTAACACAGGAACTTGCCATTTTTTGTTGCAGCGATGACGTCAATGTTGTGAGTGACTGACTGCATATTGCAGGACAAATTAAGTCTTGATTGATGTGGCTGTTGCAAATGTTTCCAGGAAATACTGTATTTAACTGTACTGTTATCTCAATTAGTCATCGACAAAAGTACCAGAATACCAATGGTATTATTTAAACTGTCTGTGGGAAGTTGTGACACTGTATCTCTATGAATATATGTGAGTACTGTGATTTGTGAATGTGTATCTGAATACGATTTTTACACATGTACATGTCTCTAGATATGTGCAGAGAAAATGGAACGCAAATGTTATTTTATTAAATGTCGGTATAGTGAAAACTTTCAGTATTTAGCACAAAGAGCTGGAAAAATAATTACAAGTAAATACAATCGTGAGTCAGTCTCAGCTGTCAATCATGATGTTTCACCAAGTTTCTGTAACATCAAATAACTAATTAAAACCAAACTGAACAAACATCAGTGTGATAAGAACTACCTAAAATGACAGAAACCATCTTGGAGAAAAATAGTTGTTTCTAGTTTGGTCCATGTCCAACCCAATAACAAGGAGAAGGCGGTGTATTTAACCTATACTGCCGCCAGCCACCAGGGGGCGATCAAGACACTTACACACAGTCTATGGTCATGTTAATTAACTACTTTACTGTATGTTTGTGATGACGTCTTCCCGCTTACTCACATGAGAAAAGAACACATCCTGTTTCCCATCTGCTGAGTTTCCCTCCAGCGGGGGCAGCACCATGTTACTCGGTGTCCACGCATGGGCGAAGTTGAGGAACTCCCACTTGTCCTTGTCCCCCTCTTCGGCCTTCAGGTACCCCTTCCTCCCGTTCAGCGTGCTGCCGGTCACCGTTTCCTGAGGGACGTGGGAAAATTGTTTTTGTTTTTCAAAGTCGGTTCTATAATGAGCTGTATCACGTTTAAGTGGAATAATTCAGATTTAATTACAAATCATAACAGCTATGATTATTAATTAAAATCCCTGAAGCCTTTTCTTATATGCAAATCAATTTCAAAGACGTGTCAAACTTTAATCATGCATGCATACATTATATACAGCTAAATATAGTAGTCATGTGCTTATGTTGTGTTTGAGGCTGTGTCAATTTATCGCCCATAGAACAAACAGATCAATACAAAAGCGATAAAACTGAAATCATGTTCAATTTCAGTGATTTATTATCCACGTTAAATACGACATTGATGAATAGATAACTGGTGATATATGTGCTGACTGCCACAGTGACTCCCTCATGTTACCTTCTTGTTAAGCATGGACCACATGATAGTGTCCAAGGTGCCCTTGGCTATGAGGTAGTGCACGTTGACCGAGGCCTTTTGCCCGATGCGGTGGGCTCGATCTTCGGCCTGCTTGATGTGACCGGGGTTCCAGCAGAGCTCAGCGAACACCACGTGGCTGGCTGCCGTGAGAGTCAAACCCTGGAGAGCGGAGACACACACACGATACTCAAATCAGAACAAAAATACTTCATTTAAACATTGCAATGGAATTTAATTTAAAAATTGTGTTTGATAAGAGAATATTAGATGCCACTTGCTTCAAGTGCCAATATCCTTTGGCTGGAATTCATCACATCTCTGCAAATATTCAGTCACACGGAATAAAAGCTGTCAGTGAGTTTATTAAGTTTATTATCAAGAGTAAAATAACAATTTCAGAATTTATTTCTACTTGATTATAATTCATTAAAACCAATAGCAGTCATCATTATTGCTTATATGCAGCAAATGACCCCATTACAATATTTAATGTTGCATTAGAGAAAAACTGTATTTATTAGTTTCTCTTATAATGACCACGCAGCTCTGAAGGAAACTGTTGTGTTCATAGGTTTCACTTAATTACAAATTAATTAGGCACCAAATTTACATTAACTGTTTTGAATCTTTTATGAGACATTGCTGTTTATGAAGCACAGTAACTTTACAATGACAAACTTCAGGATATTAAGTGTGACTGGGAGTAATGAGCATTGGAAGACATAAATATTAATTGATAAAAACTGAGGTGATCAACAAGTAACTAAATATGTTGATTTATAAATGTCTGTGTGTGTAGTAAATACCTGGCCAGCAGCCTGGATGCTGAGGATGGCCACCCGGGTTTGCGGGTCACTCTGAAACTTGTGCACGAGCTGGATTCGCAATGAGGACGGGACGCTGCCGTCGATACGGATGTAACCAGTCTGACGGAGCAGAGACAACAGATGGAAAATTCAATTCACAATGGATGACAGTGGTGAAGTAAGAAACCAGGTAGCAATGCCTGCCAATGGAACGCCTGCAACACGGCACACTGGATTTGGATATTAAAACTTCAATGGGTTCTTCCCTCCACTAATTTTCACAGAAATTGGTTGAGTAGTTTTTGCATAATCCTGCTAACAAACAAACTAACAAACAAACAAATACAGAGGGTAGAAGGTGAAAGTATACACATGACACAGAACCAAGTTGTTATGGATTCAACTTTTCTCGAGCAACATAAAAAACATAATTCCAAACTTTCAAAGCCGGACAAATACGGTCTTTTGTGAGAGGTTACATTATTTGTCACAGCTATACTGGCCTGGATCTGGCTGTGATCTGGAGTGAACCTCTCTCCTTTATTCAGGGGAAGATAATGTAACTGAGCTTGTTTGAACTTCCCATTTAAAGGTTCCCACATTTAGCGAGGGATGGTATTGTCCCTGTTTAAAAAGCTGGTGCTGGAACACTAAAGGAGATGAGCATTTCTATTTTATCCTGATTTCCACTGTGTAGATGTTTCAACGACGGGTGTGTGAATGAATGCACAATGGAAAACACTGAACTGGTAGCGTTCAATATAAAACAGCTTCTTTGAGAGGAAATGAAAACTGCACTAACAACACAATATTTTGTAACATTACATGAAGCCAGACAAAGAGAGCAGTGGTTTGCATGATCATTAAACCTGAACTGGAACTTGACATTCACTGTGCTGCTAATGCACGACTGAATCCTTTTGATTTTGGCTCACCACCCCTGCAGAGATGCTCGGTGGCCGTCGGCGGGAGAGCGTGTTTGTGCGGCGCAGCTCCCACGTGTGAATGTAACTATGACTGCATGAATATGAAGGAGAACCTTGCTGAGAAAGACCACAGAGGACTGTTTGACATTTCCGGCAAAAATAAAATGTCAAATAAAGAGAACTAATCATGATAATAACAATCAAGGTGGCACTTTCTTTTCTAAACATTTACAAAGTGCTTTACAAGACAAAATAATTAAAGCAAACGTCAAGTTATCATTAAAGAAAAGTAATATTCAAATTTTAAAAAATTGAATAAGGGGTTACAAGAATGCTATTGTAGACATTTGTTCTGTTGTCTCACAAAAGTTGTTTATCTGGCATTTAGTGCACTTTATTTACTAGTTTAAAAAATATGACTTACTTTATTAAACAAACCTTCCAACCAGTTCGACATCTGGTGAGAAAAGCAAAAGTGCGATAACATCATGCGATAGGAGCGGTGTATTCACTTGTCTCTAACAAAACTCTCATCATCGCTGCTTTTTTTAGCCCATCCTTGTTAATTGATGAGTGCGAATGCAACCAGAGAAGGAGCGTGTCACAGAGCAATGTGATATCGCACGTCGTACCTCTGCACTTGAACTCTCACAGGTTGCTGGCGATGATAACTTGTGAAATGCGCCTTTGCAGAAGAATTGTTGAAGTAAAGTTTACTTTTCTCAGTGAGGAGCAGTTTAAGAGGAAAAAGAAGAAAAAATGTGACACTCTCAGATGATGATGATGATTAAGAGAATAACTTTAGTTCCAGTGTTTCAAAACTCCAATTTGTAATTATCTAAATATTGCACCTGACTTCAGTGAAGAAGTGGAAGACGTAAATAATTCATGACTTTTAACATCCGCTGTGTATCCCCCTGCTGAAGCACAAGCCGAACTTAGAGCTCAGCACTCTGTCTAAGTTAATCATGGATGGCAGGGATTTGACTTATAAACACAGCGGGACTATGGATGAAGGAATAAAAATCAAGTAAGGGCCCAATTACCTCTGGTTAGCCAGCAAGGAGGAGTGAAATATGAACACATTCTGCACATTTAGTACTTCCAGGTTACCATTAATGGCCAATTCAGGTCTGTGCAGTTGGAAACAACTTGAAACTGTTAAATGGAAATGACAGAAATGAACATTTGCGCCAGAATGAAATATCAACCATGTAAAAACAGTGCTCCCTCTTGTTTCTAAGTGATTAGTGCGAGACTAACATGAATTCTAGGGCTTTTTTAACCAGTCCTGGAGGTTGAAGGTGAGCAGAATCTTTGTAAGAGCAGTGTGTTGTATAAGGTGAAGTGCACAGGAACTGGAAGCTGATTTCTTTATGGATCAGCTGACGAATTGTAGATGCATGGATTGGGAAGTAACTACCTACCCACATAGTTAGCTAGATTTACAGATTTAGAATTAGGGCTTAACAAATGTTGGAATGTAGGATATATAAGCTTCATTCCTGGATAGAGGGAGGAAGTGGAGATGCATCGTCTATCTGTATTTAAAGTCTGCGGCCTCACAACGTGCATTGTGAGTCTTCTTTTTATGTCTGGCCACTGCAATAATTGTAGACTCTTTTTTTGGGGTATTAGTTGTCCTGGTAACGTTCAAATGCTATAGTTTGCTCATCCCATCAACATCGACCCCTGCAAGCACTTGAAATTAGTGTCACCTTCCATGCAGATGTATTTCGAGGCTCTCATCACGATGGATATATGTGATGTGTTGTGACATTCCAGCAGTGAAAAGGGGTTAATTATGTGCATTGTCCATGTATCGGGAATTTAGCGAGATCAACCCTCCCTGAGACACAGAAGCATCCATGTAAATCCATACATATACGCATGCACACATCCATAAATAGATAAGCGTGTCCCTCTAATCAGCAGGGTATTGTTTTCAAAGAGATGTGCTATAGCACCCTGTATCTGCCTCTTATTTAGAATATCAGGGATAAAGAATTTGACAAAGGGATGAACAAGGCTGTGTGCTATGGTGAGCGATGGTTTTAACCAGGATCCAAAACGTTTGGGGGTGGGGAGACCAAAGAGTTTAGAGGCTGTGTGCGTGAAATGGAAGAATTTTTTCCCTTTGGAGACAGTTACCATAGCGATATAAACAGAAGAAGCTGCAGTGTAATGTACACAGTATTATTTTTCCTTTTAACGTGTTTTTAAGAGGATCCAGTAACATGTGGACTGCCTGAGGTTACCTTGGCCTCCATGGCGGCCTCGGTGCAGGCCTGCAGCATGGTGAGGTGGTGGGCGAACACCAGGAACTTCAGCTGCTCTGCCTCCAACATCATCTTAATGTAGTCCTTCACGGCTCCCGCCTGGCCACACACACACACAAACAAGCACATACAGAAATAGACACAGATGAAAGGGAGCCACTGAATCCATCACTTTACTGGTCGACCGCACACAGAGGAATCAGCTAGATCAGTGAAGAAGTCAATTAATCACCGCGGCATCCTTTCTGTGTGATCGATTCGCTATTGAATGCCAGGGATCCAGACTTTAAAAGGATAGAGCACACAGAGCGACTGGGGCGCATTTGTCAGCTCGCAGATAGTGAGAGCAAATCAATAAGTCACAACTTGGAGATATGATTGGTGTGTGCGCTCTTTTTCTTTGGGAAGGGGCCGTCAACAACACATACAAGAAATGTCCCCTTTTAGTCTGATGATTTAATGAATCCAAGAATCTGTCATTTTAAAAAGATAAAGCACTTTTACTCATTTAATTAAAACAATCATCCTAATTCTCGGGCGCTATTTTACGTTGGAATTATTTGCCTGTATATTTCTAGCCTTTTTTTATTCATGCCTGGCATTTGTTTTACCTGTTAGTCTTGTTTTATTTATGAAGTCAAGTGGTAACAATGCCTCATAAACATCACAGCCCAGATTTAACAGCATCTCGCTTGTTTCTGCTGAAGCGTCCGACCTTGATTGACAGCGTGAGGCTAAAAATCCAAAAAAGCACGGAAGCTGCAGAAGTGCGAGTGAGTTAACTGTACCCTGCAGGTATCCGTATCTATCAATTCACCGTGCAATGCTGCCCAGCGATCACACTGTGATGGCTGTGGCCGCTGCCGCTACCGTCTGCAAAGCTGGAGAGGATGTGCTGTATGAGCGTGTCATTGAGCAGCCGGGCTCGGCTCATTTCAGAGCCCCAGGCCAAAAAGCTCCCAAGAATAGCTCCAACTAGTGAGAAATACCGAGGTCTGATTTGACTTGAACAGAGCCCTTACTAGACGGTTTTGGAGACAGGCCTTTCTCCACGGTGTGAATCCCACACTTATAATCTCCACACCTCCTGCAACCTGACAACCTCTGCAGCCATCACACCTGCTCTGGTGGGAGAACCTCTGCTTTGCCTTGCTGATAATTAGCCAATGCGCCTGATAATGAATCTCTCCGCCAGGCCTGCCGACCCTGTTCTGATCTGGGGGGTCCTCATTACTGACGGCCTGGCTTCACCAGCTTCCTTCCGCTGAGTTTAATTAGTGCACAAACTTCTCGGCTGTCTGAAGCGGCCCGTTAGCTTGCTTTAAAGTCCAGCATCAGAGCTGTCCTCTCTGGGTAATTGGGAGCAGATGCTTGGCGGGTAAAGCAATAAAAATACCCCAAAGGCGTTTGGCAGCTCCGTCGCAAGGCAGACTGGCAGGCGGGCAGGGGCCGTGACGCTCGTCAGAGTGACATAGATGTGTGAATCCATCACACCATTCCACCCCTCCTGATGATCCAAAAGAAGCAGAGAGAACGCTTTTTTTTTCTGAAGTAGAGACAGTGTGTTTGACTCTTAAAACCGATAGGAGAGGAAATGAGGCTGGGCCAGCGGTATCGGCTTTGAGGTGGGCGAGTGGGTGGGGGGGGCTTTGCAATGAAAGGAGGTCCGGTGTTAGGCTAAACTGAGCAGAAATCCAATCAGCAAACAACGGCAGGCACAAAAAAAGATCCAAGCTTGGAGGTAGGCTGAGCAAGTAGCGTGTCGATGATTGGATTCCGTGGTTATCTCCGGTCTTCGTTAACCTAGGGGCCACGCTCCTCATGGCTGAGGGCGTCGGGCTAATTGAGAGGAATGCCAGCCCTCGAACATGCAAGATGATAGGAGAGGGATACGATATTTGGAGGAAATGTTTACTCAACTACAGGAACTACCTCTTAGCATCAAGATAAGCGAGGCTGGGAACTGATCAGAGGTTGAAAACTTGTACATGTCAACACTGAGGAACAGGAAATGTAAACACTTGTTAGATTCTCGTCACCAGTTGCGCCGATCGCAACCTTTCTCATACCGCATGCATCCCGCCACTTTCCCACATTGTTATTTCTCTCTCATTAAAAAAAAACTCTTCAAACTGAGAGCTGACGGAGTTTCCATAGCAACAACATCACAGAGATGCTACTGCGGTGTGTAACTTTGAGATAAGGTGTAATCATGCCAGGCTGGACACAACTAAATAATACCTCTGTTATAACTCCCTACTTTGTCTAAGTGCTTTCACTGGCGACCATTAGGCCCTGTTACCATGGCGATGCTCTCCTATGAAATCTCCCTGAGGGGTCGGACAAGTGCTCTGATCATGATGCTGTGCCATCAAGTCACCTTTTCCTGAACTGTGAAAATGAAGAATAAGTACACACCATATCTAATGCTTTGTATTTGGCTTGTATATGTTTTCTTTGTGTTTTAAACTGACTGTTTTCAGAGGAGTTACAGAGGTTTAAAATCTTTGGAATCTTTCTCGGAGAAGATTTGCTGCCCTGTTTTCTCACAGTTTGGCTGTGGAAGGGGCGTCATGAAGGGGTCAGACATTTTCTGGAGTTCATGTTTGAACAGAATTAGTGCAGAATTCGTCATTTTTCCCAGATTGCCAGAGTTCTCAGACACCATCACCAAACAAGAACTCAATGTTGGATGATTCTGCAAAACATTACGATGAGGGAGCACCCTTTTTTTTATGGGCATTTTGTCAAATAAACAAAGGTTACTGGCAAATAAAAGAAGCTGCCCTGATGAACTGTCAGTTTGACAAATAGGAGACAGTACCACAAACAGAATTTGGCATTAAAACTTCTGTAGCTTTGGAAGATATAAATCTAATTTTAAAACCCAGACTGCTGAAGCCACATGTAATAATAATAATAACTTAGGTTTATATAGCGCCTTTCAAGGTACCCAAGAAAATTAAAATAACTTCAGATAAACTTTATTAATGGATTTTATCCCCCTATCACTCCCATTGGTAACTCAGTCAGAAGAGCCAGTTTAAAACGGGAGGAACATTTACAGCACTCTGTCAAAAATGAATCTATTTGTCCATCTTATACTTGCACTTGTTTTCTTCTTGTCTCCATGATTCTGATTTATTTTACTTTCAATATGATCCACACTCCAACCCTCTGGTCAAAGCTTGAGATCCAACACACTTCCTGAAATGATGCAAAATCCACGTCAAACCGAAACTGTGGCTGCATTTTCTGAGCTGCTGAAAAGTTCAACTCTATATCTTTGCCTCTTTGATAATAAAGCTGATAGCAACTAATGTTAGATTTTGACTGGAGCTCTCCGTCTATAAAGGTTTGAGTGTACAAGTGCCCTGAGAAGAACTCTCAGCATCTAACCACCAAACTACTGTGATGTTTAAAGGGGAGGTTGATGTGTTATTCGACATTTTTGTTAACATCAGCAAAGAGTAGTTTTCTTACTCTGTGGTATCTGTGTTACTCAGCACCAAACCAAAGGAGCATCTACATATATGAATAAAATATTTAGAAAGTACACAAACACATACTGCTTAACTTCAAAGATACACCGTATGGTATAATGACATAGGCTGGGCTAAAACCAGATGTACTCTGAGACCTACTGTCTTCCCATTACCTTGGCTATAGCTGTTTGCGTGTACATCTGATTGACCAGCCCCATGACCTCAGTGACGGAGTTGTCCATGGCGTTGCCCCCTGACCCCAGTCCCTTCATCAGTCTCTCCCACTTGGCATAGCTGGCTGTGGCCTCCTGCAAAGAAGGAGAGCACATAGACGATGAGGCGGCTTCCTTTCTTCCATCAGCCACTCTTCTCTCTCACTCTCACTCTCGCACTTGTTCGCTACTGTTTTGAGGTATAAAGGGCAAAACAATTAATGGTGCTGCTGTGTGTCCTACTTTCCCTGGAAGAGGGAGAAAAAAAATGAGAGAGAGAGAGGGAGAATTCCCAAGGATGCCACCCCCTCTGACTGGGCTGCTGTGCTAGGTGGGTCATGAGCGTCTCCCAATTATAGCCTTCTTGTGACAAGCTGGGGTCGAAGATGGAGAAGCAAGCGGGCCGGCACAATAAATCAAAGATGGCTTGCGTGCTCTCAAGGTGATTGACGAGGTGTATTTAAGGCGGAGTGTAGAGCGGAGAGGATCGCAGTGGGAGCGGCTGCCGGCGAAGGGAAGCATATGCTGCGTTCTGCTCAGAAACAAGACACGCAGGGAGTGGCCGTGCTTTGTTGTCGACATGTGGGTTAGGACTGTTTATCATAAAAACAGAACTCATATACAAGTTAGTTCATTAACAGCAGGCTTCAGCACATTTTGTGTCATGTAGAAATCTGACAAGAAAAGCAGCATGCCGTATGTTTGATTTAATTTTCCTGCAATAACTCAGATGTGCAGATAATTTCAGGAAGAATGCTGAACCCCCATGACTTCTTTCTTTAATTGTCGAAAAGGTTTGTCATTAACGGTTATTTTGCAACAACACTGCATGGAATCTGTCTAAATTCAGGCTGAAAGATGAGAAACAAAACGTGTAAAAGTTCCACAGCAGCGAGCGCTCTCTTAAAGCACCGCAAATCAAACGACAGAGAACTGTGAACCATATGGCGGACTGAAGGAAGAGGCAGCAGTGTGTGAGGAAGCACATACAGTACATGCACATCATGGTGGATGTGTGCAGGAGGTCGGAGGGGAAGAAATAAAACCTGTGAGAAAAGGAGAGAAGTCTTATTATTTCAAGCGTACACACATGTAACCGAGGCTTCCTCCGTGTGCAAGTTTCACTATACCGCAACTTTCCCAGTGTTCTACACTGCTACAATGAAACAACTGTGGTGAGATGTGGAGGCACTGCACCATCTATTGCCATAATTAGCATTTCAGTGGATTCAAACCTCGTCAAAGTCAAGGACGGTGGAATGAATAAATATTATCATATCCAAGGAGCATAAAAGCTGCATTTCCTTTATGTCTTCCCTCAGATGTTTCACTAAGCAGCACCTCCAGAAAAGCAGCTCAGACTGTCTCGCCATGTTTTTTTATCTTAATTAAAAACTTTACATCCGAGAATTTCTTCATAATGCGACGGAAAAAATAATAATAAGAAAAATAACACGAGTTGCTAAACACTCCACCCTCGATGATATTCACTAGACTAATGCTGACAAAAGGCCAGGGCTGAAAAAGTAAAGGGCAGGAGGGACATAAAAAGTGTCTGGCTGCAGATGATAAAAGCCATCATTAGGGAGTAAAATGAGATAGGAGGAATGAACTGGTGAGGGGTGCTGGTACATAGTAGATACAGTCAGGAAAAAAGGTCCACGCTGCCTTTTGTGTTTTCTATTTTTCATATTTTCCTGGTTGCAGATTTGGGTGACTGACCACTTCACACCTCCCTTTCTCATCTCTTCAAACTACTTCCATTGTATGTTTTTACATGCATGCATGCAAAAAAAAAGGACAAATGATCTCTAAGCCTCTGAGGAGACCACGCATGGACGCTGCTGTTTCAGCCAGCTTGAGATAAGAGAGTAAAGTGGGAGCTACATGACATGACATGAACTTTTCCCAGTTCTACGCGTACGTTCGGTGGCCTAATTGGCGCCACAATGTAGAAATACTGACCATATTTAGCCCCCAATTAAAGCGTCACTTAACATTTAGGGAGACTGGGGTAAAATCCTGCATCATCACTTTCCTGAGTAACTTCCTTATTATAGTGTCATTCCTGGGATGGTGGCTCGGTGCATAATTACTGCTGAAAGAGCTCCTCCAGTGTTTTTCGACTCCTGCTGTTACGATAAGGGTTTTCCGTGGATGCTTCGGAGCGCATATTCTCACACACAGTGGGTTGTCTAACCCTTCGTAGCCTTGCCACCAGTGAGCCGATGCGCGGAGTGACAGGCGCAAAGGCCAGGTCAGAGCCACATTAGCATTCACGTATAAATTCCCACGCATCCAGCTAGACGTGGGAGGCAGAAACTGCAACCATAACTCTGGGGAGGCTAAAAGTGATGCGAACACCTACACACAAAACATGGCATTCCAACATCTACAAATAGATCTACAAATAAATGGTGGAAGGAGAACACACATTAAGAGGGATCTCACTGCATCTTAGTTTGGCCTAATGGTAAGTTATTTAATCTTGAAGCTGCAATAAGCAGTTTTCTACACTGGACCCAGTAGCCATCAGGTGTGAATTGATGAGTAAACAGAAAACATCAAGTTCTTATCAAGCAGAAGCACCAGCCTGCGATGCCAAAAGAGAAAGACAAAGATGATTACTTGTAACTGAATAACATGTAAATCGTTTATTCTAGGAAATGCCAGAAATGTTTTTAAGGAGTCAGAGAAGAAGAGGAACATTTTCTTGCTATTTTTTTTAACATGTCGGATTCACTGGACTGGAAAATGTGTCTATTTGAGAATGTTGTTGTGTTTTTGTTTGATTCAAAACAATGTTACTCAAGGAAAGAGGGATTTAACACGGTGGAGCTTCAGAACTTGTGTCAAAAATGTGATGAAAACATAACAAATTTAAACAGTATCATGGAAACAACTAGAAATTGTTAATACAGTCATTGAAATGGAAAACAGGATATTACACAGTGATACCACATTGTCAGTTATTAGAATGAATCAGTTATGTTTCCCCTAAGAGAGATATGTGTTATTGAAGAAAGAGAATTTTCTCCAACTACTGAAATGTAAAAGTTGCTGTGATGAAACTTGCTAATACATTTAAGGTACTTAAGTACAATTTGGAGCTACATGTACATTTACTTTAATATTGTATTATAATCTATTCCACTATAATTCAGTGACAGACATTGTACTTTTTAATTCCACTACAGTTATTTGATATTTACTTTCTGGATTCAAAATGAATAATACAAAATATTATATTAAGGAATATAATAATTATAGTTTGATCAATCAATTTATATATAATTGCTGCAGCTCTAATCGCATTAAAACTCAGATTGAAGCATGATGATTCATTCAAAATCTAAAGAAGGGTTTTTTCCCACTTAGAAACGCAGACAAGGTCTGTGCATGACTCATAATTGATGAATGTGACAAGTTGTCTAAATCTTTTCTATGTGTCACTTAAGAATTAAATAGTTTGTGCCAGTGGTTCTTGCATGGAGCCCAATACCTGGTGTTTTTGATTGATAAAAGAATAAAAAGCATTAATTGAATTGAGAATCAGCTGAGGCAAACAAATAATCAAATATTGGTGTGATTTGTGGGGAAAAGTTTAATTAATCACTCCCTGTGTGCTGAGAACCCCAAAGAATCTCATTTTGGCAGCCAGCATGAAACTGTGCCTTCATTATTAATCAGGAAGTCACAGTAGATGGCCATATATTAATTTTTTGAAGCATAAATTAATGGATAAAACAAACAAATATCAAAAGAAATAAATGTCTGTGCAGATAAAAAAACGTGCCCTCTGAAAAGTACCTTTGCAGCCTTGTCGGGCAGGTCAAAGGGGATACACTGTCGGATTTTGGTGGGCAGCTGGCTGAGCACCTCAGCCTTGAGACGACGGATCATGATCTGACTCAGCTGCTGGTGCAGCTCCTTCAGGTTGGACGCACCGCGACAGTCCCACTGTCTGTGACGCCCAATGTACCTGTGAGAGATTGAACGAGAGGTCGGCATTTTTCTTTTTTTTTTTTGCTAGACACATTTCTCACGGAGACAAACTTTCTAAGAAAACATACTTATTTACAGCACTGCCCTGAAGGAATAGTTAAACACATATAAACCTTCCCACCTGGGAGCTGCCCAGTAGCACAACAGCCTTCCACTGTTTATCGCTGAGCAGCTCTGCTGGAGCAGTCCGGGGATCAGTTTTTAGCTTAAGGGCAATTTGCAGAATGGAAACTATTTTGTCTAATGGCCACAGCAGCAGGTTCATCCCAAAACTCACCAGCAACTTTCACAATTTATCCGCCAAATGGATTTTTAGAATAGTGCTGGCCCTCAATACAAAGGCTGGTTATCTGCCATATTGGCTGGAAGTATGGACAAAGTTAACAAGGCACTGCCAGAATTTACTGTTTCACACTTCGATTTTCAAACTTGTGGTTGCTGAAGGAAGAGAAACCGACTCACTCCTTCGAAAACAACGTTTATGTCTGGTGTGAGGATTTTCACCAAGAACCGGGCTGCTGCGATGCTGCTTTTCTGTCTCCTGGACTTCACTGTTATGAAGGGACTGTAATAGGAACACGTTATGGAACCACCTTGTGATTCCTCTTTTGTATGAATGTGTGTGTGGCTCAGAACGGTATTCCCCAGCCACACTAAGTGCCATTATATACAAACTGTTATCATTAATGCCGTCGGGCCCATCTCCAACCGAACTGCCGACTTTGATGGGCATCCAAAACAATGTATTTGATGTTTGTTCACACATGTAACTGATCGTCGCGAGCAACCAGCAGCCAACTGGCATTTAAAGCTTGGCTTCAGTTGCGGTCTGGCTCTGACAACAAACCTGCTCAGCAGCACCACCACACCAGGCTCAGGTAGAGTCCACCTTATCCCAATGCTCACTTTAAAAGACTGATAACTAAATGGTAGGTGAGGTTTAATGAAACTCCAAACGGAGGAATTACACTTGGAAAGAATGAGTTTGAAAATATATTTATTTTGATTTATTTGCCGAGTTAAGTAAGACGACTGATAGCGCTTTCATATACGTTTGTGCGAGGTGCGTGTCATTCTGTGGGTCAGTGCTGAAAGCTCACCTGTAATGGGCGTTGCAGAATTTCTTGGCGAAGTCGGTCCAGGTCCCAAACCTCTTTGGATAGAGGGCATCGACCTGCATGAACAGCTGTGGGAATACACATGAAAATAGATCTTAGCTATTCATGCCATGCAGCTCACATCGTCATGGTAATATCACATCAACCGCCCTGATCACAGCACCAGAAAGTTACACTTTAAAAATGTAGTTTCTCAATGATATCATATACATTTGAAAAAAATCTCCAGAGCCAACCTGAAAGACTTGGCAGTTCATCATGGAGACTGTTTTTACCTCCCAACTGTTCAACTTCAAGCTTGTGAAAGGTGAGAGCACACCATCAGTCAAAAGCTTTTTCTGGCTTGAAACGTAGACCTCACCAGCGCTCACGATTAGTCTACTGTCACCGAGTACATCTTGTGTGCAATCTATTCAAGGTCCTGTTGTCCTTCGCCTAGTTTACCAGTCCTGGGAAGAACGACTGGGTAGTAATTTGTGTCAGCGAAATTAACCAGGTCACACCGTGGTGGTGCAGCGATATGGATCTGAGAATGAAATGAAATTGGATCAAATATCAACGCACTGCTGCTAAATCGCTGCTGACTCGAAAAATTGTGCATCATCACAAGATCTTTTCATGACTTCATTTAGAAATACTGAGGTGCTGAAGTTATGAGCTGCTGGTTTCTGTCATCTGAGGACATGTGTCGTTTTGAAAGGAGCCTTTTCTCGTATCAAGTGTAGACTGCATCACGTGCATCACAACAATCTCCCAGAATCCCTGTCAATTTTGAGCATTTGCAGCAATGTCTGGAGTAATGACAGGTAATCATCAGCAAGGCGATCTGAATAAGCCACCAAAGTGAGAGCGCTATTCTAAATTCATCACTTGTTCAACAGGAGCTTTGCATTTTCACCCCTCACACTGTTGATATAATAGGTGGGTGGAATGAGGGCACATCATGAACAGTGCACCATGCCCTGAGCTGTGTGCTAACTCGATGTCAGAGCCACAGTGAGTAATGATGGCAATGAGGAGACTGGCACAGAGGCAGGGACAGGTCTTATCAGGTTTGTGCTGCAGATGATAAAATGTTATATTCAGTTTCAGATTCTAGTGGCAGAGACGGGGAGAGAGATATTGAAAAAACTAACCTCACCACTGCAGGCAGGTGGAGACAAGATGGCATGTATCACACACACATATGTGCACACTCAGGCACACACACTTTCCCAATGACACACCTTCTAAAGATTTCTTACAAGTACGAACTTCACTTCATTTTGGAATTAATTAGCCGGCTGAATTTCATCAGTTAATTATCATGATCGGGTCTCGGCAATAATTAGGTTTTCCTCACATTAGCTAGACGACAGTGAGATGTGAGTCCTGTGTCACATCAACACTTACACACAGTCAACACAAAACCTATGATGTCACTTCTAAAAGATTTTTGTACATTTTCACAACGGGGACAGAATCTGGAACATATTCGATCACTTCACAGCAGCGATTGAGATTCTACAGGGGCTCCCGATCAGTACAAGAATTGATTTTAATATTTTATGAAAACATATTACTGTTCTTCATGATCTCACACTTAATCACTATGAGCTAAGATCCAGATCGTATGCATACCAGAGAGTGACCTATGATTAAGTCTGTTTTTAAAAACATGTTCTAATGCCCATTTCTAATTCTAATGTTAAGTGTGGTTCTTTAAGAAAAACTCTGGTGATACAGCTCTAAGCACATATTCACGTCTGTCAATAGAATCAATAGAATCAATAGAATGCGTCTCCAGTGACCACTTGCAATCGGATGGATCTCACTTTGCCGCTCTATATGCAAATAAACATGTAGCTGCATCGTTGAAGTTCAGAAAAGACCAAATGTCATGTTGTTTCTAGTCAGACTGATGATGACAGATTGGTCTATTGTCAGAGTGTGTGTGTGTGTGTGAAAGACACAGAGAGATGCAAGTTGATGCTGAGTGGATCAATGCAGCTCAACAACGAAATAAGATGTGACACTTTTTGAATAGCAAAAAATAAAATCACAAATAAATGAAAGAATGTAAAACACTGAGAATGTTTGGGTTATGAAACCATGGCAGGTCAGAGGACGTCAGCTGAGTAGACAGTGTTGCCCTGTAGGACTTTGTGTTCACATCATAGACTGTAGATAAAGACGGATGACGCATCTCCACTTCCTTCCACTAACCAGAAATGAAGCCAAAATATCCCGGACACGAATGCCAGCCACCAGTGGACGTGGCCAATTTAATAGTAAATAGTGACATTTGTCAAACAGTCCTGATGAGGCAGATTAGTTGATTTTTTGACAACATTTTGCAAATATAACCCAAGGATGTTTTTCTGAACTCTAGCTTTGATTATTGCTTATTTATCATGAATATTTATTTAGTAGAAAAATACTAAAGATGTTTTTCGGGGGTCTGAGCAACTATTATTGTCTGAATGATTATTTTATGCATCTTTTCTCGACTTGGGAATTTGCGTAGAAGTAAAGTTTTATAATATTCAATGTGCAACAGTTACAGAGTCATAGAAAAGCTACATTGCAGGTTATGAATAATTACAAGGACTTGTGTGTGTTTGTGTGTTTACTGGAGAGCAGAGCTATTCATAAACAGGATGTTTTGCATATGTTCCAATGTTCTGAAAACAATCAGTAGTTGGCACTGGAAAAAAAAAAGATTGTTTTTCAGATCAACCATATAATTTCTTCTGTAAACAAAATAAATACATTGACATATAATCCTTAATTATTTAGTAGATTATAATCATGATGATTTAAGCAACATAAAAACACAGTAAATGCCAGAAGTAACACTGCTCCTGAGGATGTAGTGGATGACTCGAGTGTAAATGCCAAAGCACAAAGCTGCATCTGTGCCCCATCATTAGGACACAGTGGTCCTAGAGAACTGGTTATTGATGCTGTATTGTGTCTTCACATAGAGAGCGTGAAAAGATTTTCTATTCACAAAGTCTATTTCATCCCCTGCAGCTGCAGTGATGGAATACGCCTGCAATCTACATCCTCAATATAAAATATATAAAAATGATATAATAAATCATTATGGAGAAGGGGGACGGCTCTGGTGCTCTCCACACACCGTTGTCCTGTGAACAGCCCTTCTTATTGTCTCTAAATTCAATAGTTTTCCCCCGTGTGCTTCTTTTTATTACTTGTCTCATTTATTGCAGTGCAGTGTCTGTTCATATCGGGCTTTGTAAATGAAGTTTTTGCAACAAAGGTTATTGAAATAAGTCCACGGGATCCTTGAGGATAAGTGATGCCAGAGAGAGTTAATTGGCTTTTTGAATGTTGGATCCGAGTATTACCTGCTCCGGAGGAAGTTACCATGGCGATCAACCTGCACTGTGGAGTGAGACACCTTTGTTAAAAGCAAGAGCTGAGCCCTGAGTCAGCCGACTAATCTGTCTTCCTGAGTTTGGGCTCACAAGGATGTAAAATTGGAATCTGTTGAGTGTCATCCTTTCCCTCATTAGCTACAGTCCATGTTTAATTTTTCATCAAAAATTCAAAGAAAAGATTTTTGCATCTGTAGGTTTCTGCAGTCTGAAAAGAAAACAAATCACCTTTCTGCTGTTAAATGTCTATTCTCTTTCCATTTGATCCAGTTTTATTACCTCCTCAGGTCGACCCAAGGCCGGGGTCCCGGTGAGCAGGATGGCCCGCTTAGATCTCTGAATGAGAGGAACCAGAATCTTCGTCCGCACCGCATTCCTAGACTTGAGGTAATGTGACTCGTCCACCACAACCACAGCAAACTGCTGCCTGGTCAGAGCCTCCACGAGGGGGCGCGCGTCTGTTGTGAGCAGGCCATAACCCAACACTGTTACCTTGCTGTTGCCGATACCCCTGGAGGGACACACACACACACACGCACACACGCACAAGAATAAAGTTAACATTACTTTATTTGTTCTTACTTGTTGCTTATCAGGGCTGCAAATTTGTCAGTATTCCAAACCCCTAACATATTAAATCTACAACAATGTAAGTATTACAAGTAGTAATATTCACATTTGAAGAGCTGAAACAACAACAAACAAGCCGGAGTACCTGGAGAACCCAAGCAGACACAGAGAAAACATGCAAACTCATGGATTCAAAACAAGAACATCCTTGCTGTGAGGCAACAGTGCCAACCACTGCACCACCATGCCACCCCGTCCCTCAAAACATTAACTAACAAAACTAATATGTTTGTGTCATATTGTGGCAAATAGTACATTTAAAGTATTTTCAGTATTTACATCAGCAGGATGGTTATAATGGGATTGAGACATAATAACACGTGCAACAAGGGGGCTGTAAAAGGGATCCCCTTTACCACTGACATACATGTATCAATATTTAAATACATATATAATCTGCTCAGAAGTTCTGCTGTTCACCAGGAAACAACGGCATTAAGGTAAAGTACAGCAGACTTTTGTGTGGACGTGATAAATGTGAAGGCACACCGAGGAAGACACACAGATGTGGACACAGTGCCGTACTCCAAACACGGCTGCAGCTTTTTCATAAATCTCCTTTTCTGGAGCACTTAAGAAATCCATTCCTGGGCTGTGCTGCAATTTTGTTATTATCTGGGTTGTGCACCGAGCTAACACAAACACGCACACACACACACAAACACGCATATTCACGGATAAGCAAACAAACACAGAAGCGACATTCAGCTGCATGAAACTCAATAAGCATCTCTGAGAAATCAAAAAACGTTTCCAGCATCTGTCAAGCTCAAAATCTTCGCCTTCGCCACACACACACACTTTTCCGAGCTGAAATAAACCTCAGGTGCCATTCCTGTTCTACATAAGAACAAGTGAATCAAAATACAGGGAGGAGGTGCTGCATAATTTTTTTCTTGCCTCCTTGTTCAGTCATTAACACATCCAGTTCAAGGACACGATTTTCCCAGAAGGCTTTCACAACCTCTTTGCACCCCATCTGTGAAGTGTGGAGGGAAGGTCCCCCCCCCCCCTCTCTCTGTGCCACGAATAAAGAAAGTTTGTTTCATTCAAAAATAAAAACTAAGAACTGGGGGAAAGTTGAGGAGATAATAAAAGTAGCTGTTTTCAAGGCTCATACTCGACACTGCAAACATGAACCAATATAAACAGCTGAGAAAATGAGGCTCAATTCTCTGCGACAGCACTTTCCCACTTCCTGCATCGAAAAAAAAAATTCCGCTCGTGTTCAATATTGCAGTCGACGCCTTGACATGATTTGTCTGTCAGCTCTGTCACACATCGGCCTCTGCTGGCTCCTGACACCAGGGGACATTCTGAGATTAATTTGTCAGCCACAACTTTTCTGTCTGTCACACGGCCTCACTTTTACACCGTGTGACCAAGTACGTTCAAGTTTTTAATAGCATCTCTTTAGGTAAATCATTACCACTTGTATGTGTGGGGGCAGAGAGCAGGAGAGGTGCTGACATCAAACGCTGCCACACTCCTTGTTGAGGACAACCTCCCCTTTAGTTCAAATAATGGCTGCAGCCTTTCACTTAGATAATCCTATGTACGATGAACATAATCCTGTGGATTATGTACTTTGCATTGATATCCCACACATATTTATGAGCTCTAAAGAGACCTTGCCTGCACTCCCACAGAGGCTCTGGGTTAAGAATGTGCAAAATTCCTCCCTATCTGTTCAATAAATGCATCTTTTTTTCCTTGCATGATGTTAAAATAAATAACCACTAATTGTTTTGGCATTTTCCAAAGAATTAAAAATTCACAGGCTCAAATGTGCTTGGTTTCTTTGTCATGCATAATAGTAAATTGAATATCTGGGTTTTTGGCCTGTTGATTGGACAAAACAAGCAATACGAAGATTTTACTTTGAGGTTTAAATCAAAGACTGAATATAAAGATGGACAGCATGTCTCCTCTTCCTCCCACTATCCAGAAATGAAGCAAAATTATCCCAGATACGAACACTGCCATCTTGAACACTCAAAGCCAGAGTCTGCGCAGCAGCGACCGGGGATGATGCTGCAGTAGCGAGGTCCCATAAATAACAAGTAATTTTGATGACAATGCTTAGAACAAAAAACATAAAAGTATATGAAAGTAAAGTTAGTGAGCAGAGGATTTCTGTGATGGTGTTAATATTTCTTTCTTGAGAAGAGTAAATCAAATAACACATTTTTTCCTGGCCACTTGGAAAAAAACGTCAACACAAGACTTATTATCAAATTGTGGAAAAAGTTACAGCATTCAGCTCATTTTCAATAAAACTAATAATTTATCAGTATTGCAACTTTGTTATCCACGAGGCCGTCAAATTCACATCATATGTGTGGTCTGGTACAGGTGTTGGTGGTGCGGCGGGATGACCTACATGGTGTCGCTCTTGTTCTCCACCAGGTTAATGTCTCCAGGCTGCAGCTCGGGGATCCACTTCTCCAGCTCCTCGATCCAGGGATATTTCAGGGACGACGGCACCACCACGAGGAGAGGCCACTCCTGTCTGAAGACACATGCCACCGCAATGGCCTGCACCGTCTTCCCAAGACCCATCTGGACCAAGCAAATCAACACACGGCGAAAGGGGAAGAAAAACAAGTCAATTGCACAGAGACGCTGCGATAAATTGCATATGACGGCCGAGCTGATGCAAGGCCCAAGAGTAATATGGTCTCAGAATGATTCTTGTGTCAAAACTGATTAGGCACGTGGGAGTGCTGCACAGGGCTGACAAATTAATTTGGAAGGCATGCAGCGAAGTCTCAGGTAAGTTTTTTTCTGGGGGGGGAGAGATTTCCTGAGCCAGCATTGTGTGTGCTTACCTCATCAGCAATCATACATCTGTAAAACAAAAGGAAACAGAGAAAACTTTATCAGATGGATGCTGAGATGAGGAAATTACTTTGTAGAACAGACAAATCCTAGTTGCTATAAAAAGACAGAGTTCATAGTTTATAGTTTTAAAGGACAGAAGCCCCCTGCAGCATGAGAGCTTTGATCAAAGGGCACAACAGAATTAATCAGAGGAGCATTTATTCTGATACACATGCCCAGCTTGTCCAAGGATTCATACCAGAAACTCTGCTGTCACATCCCGACCTCTCAAACCTTCCTGGCCACAGTGAAAAGTCGTGAGACACATACCACCACCTTAACTCTTGGACAAATTTCAAGTCTGTCTGTTGAGTTTGAGAACTGTTGCTGCTATTTAATATTAATGCTGTTGTTCCTAATGAATATTTCAGATTCTGATGTAGCTGAGAGTCTTCGGAGAGACTTTGGAGAGTGTTCACTGTGCTCGGGTTCATCCGGTTACCTGGAGAAGAAAGGAACATGGTGGCTCATGCAGAGCCACATCTAATCATTCCTGATGTGAAACAATAATAATGTTATAATGATGCAGGAAACTGTTCATCTAAAAGTCCTTTGATTTTAATGATCTAAATTTAGGACATGACAAGCTGCCACACAAAAATCAATCTCACATTCTTCTGGTATTGCTGACAGGTGCAGCATGAGCGACGGAGGTTTTTAGTGCAATTAACAATTAATCGATTGGTGAGTCAACATAAATTTAATCTCCGATCTACCCCTGCTAATCCTGATTATCCTTTTATATTTTCACTTTCATATTTTGAAGAGAGTGAGATTAACCTGTGATTGAACCTCATAGAGGATAACGTGCGTCAGTTCACCTCGGTCTGTGATATGATGTTTGTGCAACTGCAGAACAGCCAACTACTTCCCTTTACACCGCACATTATAAGGAACAATGAAAGCTCGACACATGCCCTCAGCTGGAGTCGTCCCCGTGGAAAAAGTGCAAATAGATCAACCTCTGGTTCTCTCTGCCCACTGGGTTTGGGTCCATTGTCATTGCCTTGCTTATTCATAAACGCTTCCAACATCATGTCAGAGCAAATAGTGCAACAGAGGAGCTCTGAATACCTCAGACACACTCTCTCATTATTCTTTCTCCTCCTCCTCCACCTCCTCCCCCCATCTCCGCCCCATTTCTCTCTTTCAGCTGAGGAACATGATTAATGTGCACCTTGCCACTGGTGGTTTTTCTAATTGCCAGCACACCGGCCCAGTCAGCGCAATGTGTGTGCGCACGCACATGCACACACACACACTCACGTGGGTTTTGTGTGTGAAAAATGCACACAAAGGAAAATACATGCAAAAAAATACACAATGAATGCACAGGCACGTGAAAAAGTCCACACACAAATGCAGACGCGTAAACTTATATATGTGCAGGCATGCGTGTGTGTGTGGGTGTGTGTGTGGGTGCACATATATACACCCTCCCACACTCACACCCGCAAACTAGGGAGGGAGTGCGGCTGAGGCAGGTGCTTGCCATTTCTCAACACATTAATCATCCTCCTTTAAATAACCTGAGCATCGACTTGACGGTTTGAGACTGCGAGGATGCTGCAGTGCTGTTGCCTGACGATGGCACGGTCCCTGTCAAACGCATCTTTTTAATGTTATCTCTGAAACCCACAAGCCCCAAAGTGTCAGGAAAATGGGCTCCCACCCCCCCACTGCCAGAGCTGGCTACGATGAATTGATGGCTTCGACCTCTGCACAGTGATGTGTTGTGTGGCCCCGTGTCTAACCCCAATCTTCCAGCCTGGCTCTGGTTCTCTTCTGAGGACCGGACCTCCGGTGCACCGTGGTCAGCGGGGAAACGGCTCAGAGGTTGGACGCTGCACAAAAGGCTGACTGGAAGGATGCTACCCTGCACTATGCTCGGACTCACTGGGCTCACTCACACACAGCTCTGGGTTCAGAGTGCAGTTTTGCTGTGTGGTGTGAATGTACTTAAAATCAAATCAAAGTAGCCTTTAGCAGGAAAGGTTTTGGCTGGGTTTTTTCATGCTTGTGGAAGATGGAAGATGAATGCATGTTTGAATAGTGTGTAGGACTTTAAAAGGAAAAGCTATACGGGGGCAATCGATGATCCCCCAACTTCAGCCCACTCTTCTAAACTTCACCTAAAAGCTCTTTTATCCCTATTTTTTCCAGTGGTGCAGGATGTACTCTAACAATTGTTACACACAGAAACACACCAGCTATTTTTTTTTCTTGATTGTTTCCAACCCTTTTTCCAACCACAGAATGAAATTTAAATAATCTACATAAATACATCATGTTTCCCACCATCTAGACTGAAGACATTTGCAAAAATATACATAACCTCATTAGATAGCAAATTACCCATTAAATAAGCAGTTGTGCCACAACTAAGACTAATGTCAACACAGTGGAAGCAATATCATGATGTTCATCATATCTCAGTCAGCCTGGACACTACAGCTTTTGTCCATAGACTGTGGGACATATGGACAACATGACTGGTAAGCCAAACTACTGCAAAAGTATCTTGATCACCACCTGGTGGCTGGCTGCAGTAAAGGTAGTAAAGAACACATCGAAGAAAATGCTTTCTGTAATTTTAAGGTGGTTCTTTCAAAACTGATGTTTTTTTTAAGTGTTTTATGATAAGTTTGGTTTTAATAAGTTAATTAACTAATTAGTTAAAATGGGGAGCTGCATAACTGACATTACAGAATCAATAATCAAATGAAGACATGTGGATTATTACGACCTTAGTCACATTATGTAGACATGTATATATGTCTCGATTGTATCATGATGTCCTGTAGTTGTCACAGCCTTTAGCAACCGCTTGACGAGCATGGGTTTGGGTGTAAATAAGCAACGGGATTTAATGTCACATAATCAGACCATGCAGGAATATAAATGGAATATTTTACTAGCAATGATAAATATCATAATCATAATAATGTCTTCTTCAGAATAAGGTCAATAGTCTGAATGTTTCTGTCCAACGTCGTCAATGATGAAGATGTGATTTTGAAAGGAGCACACCGCTGATTTTACACATGAAGATCAGATCAATTTAGCCACTTCTCAGTGTGTGAATCAGATCCATAACATCCTTTGTGGCTTCGGAGGGGGCTTTCTAAAGCGTGAAGAAGAAAAAAACAACCCCTGGTGATGTCATCAATACAGACTCATCGGCAAGAGTACGCATGTTGTGTAAATACATAGTTCACTTGTGTGTGTGAACAAAGGACAAGCTCCGTCTCTGAAATAGAGTTCTCTCAGTAATTTGACCGTCACAAGGAGAGACAACACAGTCTGCTTATTGATCACTGCTCGCATCAGGAGAGCAGGCCATATTCAATCAAAGCACAGGCGGTCATTTAGGAAAGTATTCTGGATGAGTCAAAACAGGTTGAACATGCACTGCTTCCAGCTGCAGACAACATCTTCATCGAAGTTAACGAAATAACTTAATTGATGTACTTTTACTCGGGATTCTTTTTTTTCTCACAAATAAAAATTTATTTCAAAAACAATGTGCACATGTAACGCAGTGCATTGTAAAAAAAAAGTGCAGATATTTGTTGATGTAGTGGAGTAAAAGTGAAAAGTACCTGAAAATATATAGGTAAGCACAGATACATTAAATGTACTAAACAAAGTAAATGTACTTTTTCCACTACTGCTTTTTTGTAATGCTGAACTAATGCAGATGTCATCAATCCGATGCAAATTTCTGCCCAACTTTCCAAACAAAACAATCAAGCACATCTCATAGGTTTTTATAATCATACCGTTCCACAACTGTCCCACGTTATCCCTCGTCTAACTCCATAAAACTCACTCACCCTCCTACACAGACTGATGCTGCGGACTCCGTCAGTATTGCAACAACATTTGATGTTTTGGTTCGGTACGCTTGATATTTCTGGTTGTGAAAAAACACAATGACAATGAGATTTAAAGGAAAAAATGCACCCACGGATCCTCCTACACCGTTAGATCTCTAACATCAATCTGTGATGTTCTGTGGATTTCAGGAGTTATTTTATAATTTAGCACTCTGACATGTATTTCTTTGTCTGACAGCCTGTCTCATCCAGTTCCACCTCAGGTAGTCATCCTACATTTCCCAGAATTTTTATACCCCTTCCTAAAAATCCAACATATGTGAAACTGCTGTGCATTCAGGTCTAAAAAAAATAGGCTTCTGCTTTAGTTTGATGTTCTTTCCAAGGATGCTGAATGACAAATAAAGAACAGCAGGGTGCATCAGATCCAGATTACTGTCAATAACAATCAGTTTTAGCTAAAGTCATCCTTGCTGTCTGCCTGTATCTGAGTGCACGGATAGATATGTGGATAAGGGTTCGTGTTATGCATTAATAAAAAATATTTCCCCCCCATTTTTAGAAGAATCTTTTACTGCTTGTAAAAAAAAAATGAAATCTGCATAATAATGCAAAGTTTAAAAAAGCTGATAGCTGATTTATTTCGCTATTTTTCTCTTCCCACGGACTTTTAACCTACAAACAAATGTTATTGGTTAAAATAGAAAGGAAACCAAAAGACTTCCGCCTCCAAACTCTTGTCTCTCATCTACAGATTCTGTAAATTCACATGCACAATCTGTTTAGAGAGATTAGCTCCAAGCAAAACAAGAACAAATAATGCTTCAAGAAATGTAAGGCAACATGTCTTCTTCGTGGATTACCAATACATGATATTGCTTTTATCATAATATCGTGCATGCAGCCATTAAATGCAGATTAAAGACCCTCATCAAGTCATTTCAGGTCCTTGTTAAAAGCTCACGAAGCTAACATTCATTTTATTATATAATAGATAAAAAGCTACTGGCAAAATTGGCCATCGGTCAGCTGGTAATAAGGAGCTGCCCACCTTTTTTTTCTGAAACCAAGGACCCATTGTTTCAAACAATTGCCATCAATTCCCAGTAGTAAATCTGCCACCATTATTATTTTGTGAAATTAAAGTGTGTGAAGCAGCTTTCTCTTCTCCTATTTTAAAGGAAGAAAACTTTGGACTAAAAGTATCTAAAATCTATGGAGACCCTCCGGGGTCAGAGCTTTTAGTTTGAGTGAGGACCTCCACATCCAATCTGACCTGTTTGTGTGGTAGAGCTTCAATTAGCACATGCAAGAGAGAGGAAAACCGGCCAAGTACAGAAGTAAGATACAGAAATGTAGAAGCTGTATGTAAGTCCCTGTCAAACTGATCAGAGGGATATTTGATTCTGCATATTTACATAAATCTACTGGTAAAAATACAACATTACTGTGGACAATTATTGCCAATACTGATGTTTACAGTAGCCAATAGTGCCAAATCCTTTCTCATATGGATAAAATTAGATAAATGTAGAATTAATACATGGACGGGGATTAAAGTATTTTTCATTGCATAGGGCCTGTAAAGATTTGATGAGAATTACATTTACAAGTTTTCTGTCTGTCATCAATACTGTATGGTCATGTGACACAGACATGCAGAATGTAGTTCTTTT